TTAATCATTAATCAAACAGATCAACTCCAGTCAGCCGACCACATGAAGGCTCTGGTGGAAAGTCAACTCCAACTTCTTTCTGCTAATAACATGTTTGTAACTTAGTAATTTAGCACTAAATAACGATTCTCCAGATGCAAACAAAAATAAGCGCTTAAAATAAGTGAGTACTCGAGTCCTACGGTACTACGTATTACGGATACTATTACTGAGTACTACGGATGAACTTTTGTAGTACAACTAGTAATAGTAGTAGTCGGGATCCATTATGTTCATTAGGAACCTACAACTGTAGAAGACTCCATCAGTCTCAGGAGACTATGGAGTCTCCTGAGACTGGAGACTGGAGTCTGGTTGAGACTGGAGTCTGGTTGTCGGTCTGGAATGGCCTCTCCAGGGCGCAAAGCCAGGGTAGGATGTTACCGGGGGGGGGGAGGGGAGAAGCTGTTACCCATGCAGCAGATTGATGTAGGTGAGAGCGACAATGTAAGTAGGGTTTATTTAGGAACTGTAGGTTGTAAGACCCCCTAGTCTTAGACGTGTAGGAGGGAGACGGGCGGGAGGTGTGGGACGCTGAGCGTCACTTATTCATCATTTCGGTTTTTACAACAAGATTTTGAGATTGAAAAGTTGCTAATATTTTTTGTAGTTGAGAGGCCATAATACACGACGACGACGACCACGTCACAATACACACGACGACGACGACGACCACGTCACAATACACACGACGACGACGACCACGTCACAATACACACGACGACGACACGATACACACGACGACGACAACGACGTCACAATACACACGACGACGACGACACAATACACACGACGACGACAACCACGTCACAATACACACGACGACGACGACCACGTCACAATACACACGACGACGACGACCACGTCACAATACACACGACGACGATGACGACCACGTCACAATACACACGACGACGACGACCACGTCACAATACACACGACGACCACGTCACAATACACACGACGACGACGACAACCACGTCACAATACACACGACGACGACGACGACCACGTCACAATACACACGACGACGACGACCACGTCACAATACACACGACGACGACGACGACCACGTCACAATACACACGACGACGACGACCACGTCACAATACACACGACGACGACAACGTCACAATACACACGACGACGACAATGTCACAATACACACGACGACGATGACGACAACGTCACAATACACACGACGACGACGACGACAACGTCACAATACACACGACGACGACGACAACCACGTCACAATACACACGACGACGACGACGACGACGACAACGTCACAATACACACGACGACGACGACGACAACGTCGCAATACACACGACGACGACGACAACGTCACAATACACACGACGACGACGACGACCACGTCACAATACACACGACGACGACGACGACAACGTCACAATACACACGACGACGACGACGACCACGTCACAATACACACGACGACGACAACGTCACAATACACACGACGACGACGACAACCACGTCACAATACACACGACGACGACGACGACCACGTCACAATACACACGACGACGACGACAACGTCACAATACACACGACGACGACGACGACGACGACGACGACGACGACAACGTCACAATACACACGACGACGACGACAACGTCACAATACATACGACGACGACGACCACGTCACAATACACACGACGACGACGACGACAACGTCACAATACACACGACGACGACCACGTCACAATACACACGACGACGACGGCGGCAACGTCACAATACACACGACGACGACGACAACCACGTCACAATACACACGACGACGACGATGACCACGTCACAATACACACGACGACGACAACGTCACAATACACACGACGACGACGACCACCACGTCACAATACACACGACGACGACGACCACGTCACAATACACACGACGACGACGACCACGTCACAATACACACGACGACGACGACAACCACGTCACAATACACACGACGACGACGACGACCACGTCACAATACACACGACGACGACGACCACGTCACAATACACACGACGACGACGACGACCACGTCACAATACACACGACGACGACGACCACGTCACAATACACACGACGACGACAACGTCACAATACACACGACGACGACAATGTCACAATACACACGACGACGATGACGACAACGTCACAATACACACGACGACGACGACGACGACAACGTCACAATACACACGACGACGACGACAACCACGTCACAATACACACGACGACGACGACGACGACGACAACGTCACAATACACACGACGACGACGACGACAACGTCGCAATACACACGACGACGACGACAACGTCACAATACACACGACGACGACGACGACCACGTCACAATACACACGACGACGACGACAACGTCACAATACACACGACGACGACGACGACCACGTCACAATACACACGACGACGACAACGTCACAATACACACGACGACGACGACAACCACGTCACAATACACACGACGACGACGACGACCACGTCACAATACACACGACGACGACGACAACGTCACAATACACACGACGACGACGACGACGACGACGACGACAACGTCACAATACACACGACGACGACGACAACGTCACAATACATACGACGACGACGACCACGTCACAATACACACGACGACGACGACGACAACGTCACAATACACACGACGACGACCACGTCACAATACACACGACGACGACGACGGCAACGTCACAATACACACGACGACGACGACAACCACGTCACAATACACACGACGACGACGATGACCACGTCACAATACACACGACGACGACAACGTCACAATACACACGACGACGACGACCACCACGTCACAATACACACGATGACGACGACCACGTCACAATACACACGACGACGACCACGTCACAATATACACGACAACGACAACCACGTCACAATACACACGACGACGACGACAACCACGTCACAATACACACGACGACGACGACAACCACGTCACAATACACACGACGACGACGACGACCACGTCACAATACACACGACGACGACGACGACGACGACGACGACCACGTCACAATACACACGACGACGACAACCACGTCACAATACACACGACGACGACGACCACCACGTCACAATACACACGACGACGACGACAACCACGTCACAATACACACGACGACGACGACGACCACGTCACAATACACACGACGACGACAACCACGTCACAACACACACGACAACAACCACGTCACAACACACACACGACGACGACAACCACGTCACAACACACACGACAACAACCACGTCACAACACACACGACGACGACGACGACCACGTCACAACACACACGACAACAACCACGTCACAACACACAAGAGGCACTGAACTACAGGCCAGTGTCCTTGACTTGTATACCATGCAAGGTGATGGAGAAGATCGTGAGAAAAAACCTGGTAACACATCTGGAGAGAAGGGACTTCGTGACAAATCGCCAACATGGATTCAGGGAGGGTAAATCTTGCCTTACAGGCTTGATAGAATTCTACGATCAGGTGACACAGATTAAGCAAGAAAGAGAGGGCTGGGCGGACTGCATTTTCTTGGATTGTCGGAAAGCCTTTGACACAGTACCGCATAAGAGGCTGGTACATAAGCTGGAGAGACAGGCAGGTGTAGCTGGTAAGGTGCTCCAGTGGATAAGGGAGTATCTAAGCAATAGGAAGCAGAGAGTTACGGTGAGGGGTGAGACCTCCGATTGGCGTGAAGTCACCAGTGGAGTCCCACAGGGCTCTGTACTCGGTCCTATCTTGTTTCTGATATATGTAAATGATCTCCCGGAGGGTATCGATTCATTTCTCTCAATGTTTGCGGACGATGCTAAAATTATGAGAAGGATTAAAACAGAAGAGGACTGTTTGAGGCTTCAAGAAGACCTAGACAAGCTGAAGGAATGGTCGAACAAATGGTTGTTAGAGTTTAACCCAACCAAATGTAATGTAATGAAGATAGGTGTAGGGAGCAGGAGGCCAGATACAAGGTATCATCTGGGAGAGGAAATTCTTCAGGAGTCAGAGAAGGAAAAAGACTTGGGGGTTGATATCACGCCAGACCTGTCTCCTGCAGCACATATCAAGCGGATAACATCAGCGGCATATGCCAGGCTGGCCAACATACGAACGGCATTCAGAAACTTGTGTAAAGAATCATTCAGAACTTTGTATACCACATATGTCAGGCCAATCCTGGAGTATGCAGCCCCAGCATGGAGTCCATATCTAGTCAAGGATAAGACTAAACTGGAAAAGGTTCAAAGGTTTGCCACCAGACTAGTACCCGAGCTGAGAGGTATGAGCTACGAGGAGAGACTACGGGAATTAAACCTCACTTCGCTGGAAGACAGAAGAGTTAGGGGGGACATGATCACCACATTCAAGATTCTGAAGGGGATTGATAGGGTAGATAAAGACAGTCTATTTAACACAAGGGGAACACGCACAAGGGGACACAGGTGGAAACTGAGTGCCCAAATGAGCCACAGAGATATTAGAAAGAACTTTTTTAGTGTCAGAGTGGTTGACAAATGGAATGCATTAGGAAGTGATGTGGTGGAGGCTGACTCCATACACAGTTTCAAGTGTAGATATGACAGAGCCCGATAGGCTCATGACTCTGTACACCTGTTGATTGACGGTTGAGAGGCGGGACCAAAGAGCCAGAGCTCAACCCCCGCAAACACAACTAGGTGAGTACAACTAGGTGAGTACACACGACAACAACCACCACGCCATAATGTCATCTTAGACACATTCCAGCATGAACACAACATCGCTGAATAACGTTTGTAAATAAGATTGGAAATATTATTTCGTTTATTTACAAAACTGTGAAACACACGAGAAGTTGACTAAGGTCAATAACTGTAGAATCTTACCTAGCTTCACATGCTCTCTAGACCAGGGCTGGCGGATCGGGCTTCCTGTCGGGCGGGTGCTGAAGTCTCCTCATTATCCAGCCCCAAGAGAAGCCTCTCCCACGCCTTGAAGTCCAGGACGGGCCACGTCTTTTCACGTCCAACAGCTTAGGACGTGTGACGTCTGGCAGGTTAGCACATGTGGCAGGTTAGCACGTATGACGTCTGGCAGGTTAGCACGTGTGACGTCTGGCAGGTTAGCACATGTGACGTCTAGCAGGTTAGGATGTATGACGTCTAATAGGTTAGCACGTGCGACGTCCAACAGGTGAGGACGTGTGACGTCTAGTTGGCTAAGGCGTGTGACGTGGTATCTTGTCGAAGCATTTTCAACCATTCATATCGTGTTGCCATCCCGAAAGAGCAGTTTATAGGACGCGAAACTTTGTTGAGATACAAGGTCACTCTACGCTGGATCATTCATGCAAACGCGGCTCCTTGTCTACTCTCAGAGCGGCTGGTGTTGCGTGTTCCATAAAGCCCTGAAGTGAGCCAAGATGTTATTCTCTCCCGCTGAGATCATAGACACAATTCTCAGTAAGTCTGTTGGATGAATGAAGCTGATCTCCTTTATCATATGCAGAATATTGAGATGAAAATGCAGCGTGGTCGGCGGTCACATGGTCCGAGGGCGGGAGCGGCGCCACTCGCCAGCCAGCAACATGCAGCTCGAGCAGCAGCAGCCTGTCTCTCCACACCGTCACCTCCGGCGTCCCATCCACCACTGACTACCATCCTCTTCCCTCAGCGTCCACCCGAGCCCCACCACCACCACCACCACACCGTCTCCTCCGCCACCGCCACACGCCTCTACTGAAGGCCCTCATACTAACAGTGACCCCATCACCGCAACTGAGAATATCCTCTGCCTCAATGACTTCACGATCCTCCGTATCGTCTGTACTCACCTATTTGTGCTCACCTATTTGTGCTTGCGGGGGTTGAGCTTTGGCTCTTTGGTCCCGCCTCTCAACTGTCAATCAACTGGTGTACAGATTCCTGAGCCTACTGGGCTCTATCATGTCTACATTTGAAACTGTGTATGGAGTCAGCCTCCACCACATCACTGCCTAATGCATTCCATCTGTTAACTACTCTGACACTGAAAAAGTTCCTTCTAACGTCTCTGTGACTCATGTGGATACCCAGTTTCCACCTGTGTCCCCTTGTTCGCGTCCCACCAGTGTTGAATAGTTTATCCTTGTTTACCCGGTCGATTCCTCTGAGGATTTTGTAGGTTGTGATCATGTCTCCCCTTACTCTTCTGTCTTCCAGTGTCGTAAGGTGCATTTCCCGCAAGAAATGTGTGTGTGTGTGTGTACTCACTTATTTGTGCTTGCGGGGGTTGAGCTCTGGCTCTTTGGTCCCGCCTCTCAACTGTCGATCAACTGATGTACAGATTCCTGAGCCTACTGGGCTCTATCATATCTACATTTAAAACTGTGTATGGAGTCAGCCTCCACCACATTATGCATTCCACCTGTTAACTACTCTGACACTGAAAAAGGTTCTTTCTAATGTCACTGTGGCTCATTTGGGCATCCAGTTTCCACCTGTGTCAACTTGTTCGCGTACCACCAGTGTTGAATAGTTTATTCTTATCTACCCTGTCAATTCCTCTGAGAATTTTGTAGGTAATGATCATGTCTCCCCATACTCTTCTGTCTTCCAGTGTCGTGAGGTGCATTTTACGCAGCCTTTCCTCGTAACTCATGCCTCTTAGTTCTGGAACTAGTCTAGTAGCATATCTCTGAACTTTTTCCAGCTTCACCTTGTGCTAGACAAGGTACGGGCTCCATGCTGGGACCGCATACTCCAGGATTGGTCTTTCTTATGTGGTATACAAGGTTCTGAATGATTCCTTATACAGGTTCCGAATGATTCCTTACACAGGTTCAGAATGATTCCTTACACAGGTTTCTGAAGGCCGCTCTGATGTAAGCCAGCCTCGCGTATGCCGCAGATTTAATTCTTTTTATGTGGGCTTCAGGAGACAGGGTTGGTGTGATTTCAACTCCTAGATCTCTCTCTCTCTGTCCGTTTCATGAAGTACTTCATCTCCAATTCTGTATCCTGTGTCTGGCCTTTTGTTTCCACTGCCTAGTTTCATTACCTTACATTTACTCGGGTTGAACTTTAGTGCCCATTTGTTGGACCATTCATTCAGTCTGTCTAGGTCATCTTATAGCTTCATGCTATCTTCCTCTGTTTTAATCCTCTCATAATTTTTGCATCATCGGCAAACAATGAGAGGAACGATTCTATACCCTCTGGGAGATCATTTACATATATCAGAAACAGTATAGGTTCCAGGACTGACCCCTGCGGGACTCCACTGGTGACGCCTCGCCAATCTGAGACCTCACCATCAGCTTGCATGGTATGCAAGTTAGGGACACTGGCCTGTAGTTCACTGCCTCCTGTCTATCCCCCTTCTTGTTTATCAAGACTATATTATCCGTCTTCCAAATTTTTGGCAGTTCCTCTGTTACCAGTGATTTGTTATACACTATGGAGAGTGGCAGGCACAGTGCTTCTGCTCCCTCTTTTAGTATCCAAGGGGAGATTCCATCTGGGCCTATAGCCTTTGTTACATCCAACTCTAACAAAAGCTTCCTTACATCCCCACTGGTAATCTCAAACTCTTCTAGTGGTTCCTGGTTAACTATTCCCTCTCTTATCTCTGGAACTTCTTGCTGTAATGTGAAGACCTCCTGGAATATCTTATTCATTTCCTCACACACTTCCTTGTCGTTTGTAGTGAATCGGTCTGCCCCTATCCTCAATTTCATCACCTGTGCCTTTACTGTTGTTCTTCTCCTGATGTGGCTGTGCAGCAATTTAGGCTGAGTCTTTGCCTTGCTTGCGATGTCATTTTCGTATTGCCCTTCTGCCTCTCTTCTCATCCTGACATATTCATTCCTGGCACTCTGGTATCTTTCTCTGCTCTCAAGTGTCCTGTTATTCCTATAGTTTCTCCATGCCCTTTTACTTTGATGCTTAGCTTGCCAACATCTCTGATTAAACTATGAGTTTCTCATCTGCATTTCGTTGTTTTCCTTTTGGACCGGGACAAACTTTACTGCGGCCTCCTTACACCTCTGCGTGATGTGGTCCATCATGTCTTGGGCCGTCTTTCCCCTGAGCTCTATTTCCCATGTCATATCTGTTAGGAAGTTTATCTCCTCATAGGTTTTCTTCGAAATACCAGCCTTTTGTTTTCAGTTCCCCTCTTCGAGTTCATTAACCCTTCTTCGACCAGATACTCAAATGTCAGTACATTGTGGTCGCTCATTTCTTCTGGTGCCTCATACCCGATTTCCCTTATGTCAGAGTCATTCAGAATGAAGACTAGGTCGAGTCTTGCTGGTTCATCATTACCTCTAATTTTTGTGAGTTCCCTGACATGCTGACTTAAAAAGTTTTTGTTGCCACCTCCAATAGTTTAGCTCTCCATGTATCCTCACCTCCATGTGGTTCCATGTTTTCCCAGTCCTTCCATGATTGAAGTCTTCCATGATGGGATTTATTTCTACAGGCAGCAGAGACTGCCCTCTCAATTATAGTGTTAACTGCCATGTTGTTGTTTTCATACTCTTGACTGGGTCTTTTGTCATTTGGTAGAGGGTTAAATATCATTGCTAGTACTACTCTTGGTCTTCCCATCGTCATGGTGCCTGTTATGTAGTCTGTGAATCTCTCGCAGCCCGGGATGACCATCTCCTTGAAACTCCATTCCTTTCTCATGAGTAGGGCCACTCTGCCTCCTCCACTTCCTTCCCTCTCTTTCCTTATTACAGTGTAGTCCTGGGCAAACACCGCATTCGTTGTAATTCTTGAGAGTTTTGGTTCTGTGAGTCCAATTACATCTGGGTTCACTTCTTGTGCTCTTTCCCTTAATTCACTTGCCTTGCTTGTGATCCCATCTATGTTCTAGTACATTACCCTGAAACTGACTCTCTTCTGTCCTTAATCAGTTTGTTGGTTCCCCTGAAGCAGGGAAACAGGGAGGGCCCGGGATGAGAGGGCCTAGGAAGGGGGACCTGGGAGTCTGGGGTTTGAGGGGGGGGGGGACTGGTAGGATCTGGTATGGGGGAGGGTGCTGAAGGGAGGGAAGGCTTGGGTGGGTGGGGAGAAGAGAGGGTTTGGAAGGGTGGGGGAGAGGGGGACAGCTTGAGGAAGTGGGGGAGAAGGAGAGAATTGGGGGTATAGGAGCAGGGAGGGCTTGGGGGGGTGGTTGAGAATGGAGGACTTAGGGGAGGGTGGGGGAGATTGGAGGACTTAGAGGGGGTGGGGGAGAAGGGAGAGCATGGGGAAGTAGGGAGGGCTTGGGGTGCGGGTTAAGGGAGGGCTTGGGGTGCGGGTTAAGGGAGGGCTTGGGGGGGGGGTGAAAAAAGGGACGTCCTGGGGAGAGGGTGAGTGGGGGGAAGGTTCCCAAGGTGGGCACTAAGTGGGGGATGGCGTATGTCTGTATATCATGGTTGGGTTGACCGCACACCCACGTGCTCCCACTCCACGCTGCACTACTCGCTGGTGGCACTGTTGTGAACACTTGTGTGTGTGTGCGTGCGTGCGTGCATGCATGCCTATTTGTCTGTTGGTTCGTGTACTCACTACACAGGGGGCCTGGTGGCTGATGGGACGGGGGAAAGAATGGTGCCCAACCACTTGGACTGGACGGTAGAGCGACGGTCAACCACCGTTCAAGTGGTTGGGCACCATTCCTCTCCCCCCCCCCCGTCCCATCCCAAATCCTGATCCCTTCCAAGTGCTGTATAGTCGTAATGGCTTGGCGCTTTCCCCTGACAATTCCCTTCACCAAGTTGTGCTTGCGGAGGTTGAGCTCCGGCTCTTTGGTCCCGCCTCTCAACTGTCAATCAACTGGTGTACAGGTTTCTGAGCCTACTGGGCTCTATCATATCTACATTTGAAACTGTGTATAGAGTCAGTCTCCACCACATCACTGCCTAATGCATTCCATTTATTAAATACTTTTAACACTGAAAAAATTCTTTCTGATGCGTCTGTAGCCTACTTGAGTACTCAATTTTCACCTGTGTCCCCTTGTGCGTGTACTATCCACGTTTAATCCGTCCATATCTGCCTTGCCAATTCTCCTGAGAATTTTGTATGTGGTGATCATATCTCCCCCAAGATCTTCCATCTTCTAGCGACGTGAGGTGCAATTCATGAAGCCTTTCTTCGTAACTTATGCCTCTTTGTTCTAGGACTAGTCTAATGGCATACCTCTTGACTTTCTCCAGCTTCGTCTTGTGCTTGACAAGGTACGAGCTCCATTCTGGGGCTGCATACTCCAGGGTTGGTCTTACATATGTGATACACAAGGTTCTGAAGGATTCCTTACACAGGTTTCTGAAGGCAGTTCTGATGTTAGCCAGCCTTGCATACACCGCTGATGATATTCTTTTCATGTGGGCTTCAGGAAACAGGTTCGGCGAATATCAACTCCTAGATCTTTCTGTCCGTTTGATGAAGGACTTCGTCTCCCATTTGGTATTTTGTATCTGGCCTCCTGTTTCATTCGCCTAGTTTCAGTACCTTACATTTACTTGGATTGAACTTTAGTAGCCATTTGTTGTATCATCCCTTCAGTTTGTCTAGGTCATGTTGTATCCTCTATACTATCTTCGTCTGTCTTAATTCTCCTCATGATTTTTACACCATCTGCAAACATTGAGAGGAACGAGACTATTCCCTCTGGGAGATCATTTACACATATCAGAAACAGAATAGGTCCAAGGACTAAACCCTGCGGGACTCCACCGGTGACGCCTCGCCACTCTAAGACCTCACCCCTTACAGTGACTCGCTGTCTTCCGTTGCTTAGGTACTCTTTTTTATCCAGTGGAGTACCTTCCTTTTCACTCCTGCCTGCATACCCATCTTCTATGGGATACTGTGTCAAGGGTTTCTGCCAATCCAAAAATATGCAGTCTACCCACTCTTTTCTTTCTTACCTGATTTTTGTCGTCTGGTCATAGAAATCAATTAATAGTGGGAAATAAGATTTCCCATCCCTGAACCCATGCTGATACTGTATTACAAAGTTCTTTTGCTCCAGGTATTCCACTGACATTTGAGTATCTGGTGGAAGTAGGAGTAACCCATCCAATGAATGGACCGAAAATTAAATGGCTGGAATACGGAAGGGGAAACTATGATGTGAGTAGAAAATTTCTAAGAGGAATACCATGGGAGACAGCTCAGAGAGAAGTCTGTTCAAGGCATGATGGACTACATCACTAGAAGTGTCAGGAGACCGAAAACAGATTTATCTCGGCCCAGAAAGATAAAAAAAAAGGGGGGGGGATCCTTGGTTCAATGAGGCATGTAATTTACTTATTTATTTATTTATTAATATACAAGAAGTTACATTGGGGGTTAACAGAGAATATAGAAAATAAGTTGAATTAACTTTCTTGTAAAGCCACTACCACGCATAGCGTTTCGGGTAAGTCCTTAAACTAACAGAAGCAAGGCAGTAAGCTAAGCAAAAGCAGTAAGCAAAACTAAGTAATGAAGCAAGACAGCTATGCACAAGGGCATGGAGAAACTACAGAAATAACAGAACACCAGAGAGCAGAGAGAGAGATACCAGCTGGCCAGAAATGGGAACCTCAGTGTGAGGAGAGAAGCAGAAAGGCAGTTTGAAAATGACATAGCAAATGAAGTCAAGGACCCAACCAAAACTGCTATACAGCCACATCAGGAGGAAAACAACAGCTAAAGAACAGGTGATGAAACTTAAAAAGGAGAGAATGGGTACACAGAATGACAAAGAGGTGCGTGAAGAACTCAACAAGGGAATCCAGGAAGTCTTCGCAATAGAGCAAAGAGACGTCCCTGAAATAAGACGGGTGGCGATAAACCAAGCAGACTTGGAAAATATTGAAATTACCAGAGATGAGGTTAGGAGGTATCTGCTCGATTTAGACGTGACTAAGACTGTTGGACCTGATGGAATCTCACCATGGATGCTAAAAGAGGGGGCAGAAGCACTATGCATACCACTATCTATGGTGTATAACAAATCACTGGAAATAGGAGACCTGCCAGAAAGTTGGAAAACAGTTAATGTAGTCCCAATTTAAAAAAAAAATGGATAGGCAGGAGGCAGCCTAAACCTTCATATGAGCAGAAGGCTGGTGTCCTTAACTTGTATATTATGCAAAGTGATGGAGAAGATCGTTTGGAAAATTCCGGTAGAACATCTGGAGAAAAGTAACTTTGTAACACGTCACCAACATGGGTTCAGGGATGGCAAGTCAAGCCTCACAGGTTTAATACAATTCTATGACCAAGCAACAAACATTAAGCAAAACAAGAGAAGGATGGGCAAACTGCATTTTCTTGGACTGTCAGAAAGCTTTTGACACAGTACCCCCATAAGAGACTTGAAAAATTTAAAGAAACAAGCTGGAGTAAGTGTTAGGGTGCTAATATGAATAAAGGAGTACCTAAACAACAAGGAACAGAGAGTTACTGTGTGGGGTGAGACCTCAGAATGGCGTGATGTCACCAGCTGAGTCCCACAGGGTTCTGTACTCAGACCTATCTTGTTTCTGATATACGTGAATGATCTTCCAGAAGGTATTGAATCATATCTCTCAATATTTGCTGATGATGCTAAAATTAGGAGAAGGATTAAGACAGAGGAGGACAGAAATAGGCTATAGGATGACCTGGACAGACTGAAGGAATTGTCCAACAAATGGGAGTTAGACTTTAACTCAAGCAAGTGCAAAGTGATGAAGATAGGTGTAGGGAGCAGAAGGCCAAACACAAGGTACCAGCTGGGAGAGGGAATCCTTCAGGAGTCAGGAAGAGAGAAAGATCTGAGGGTTGATATCACAACAGACCTAGCCCCTGAAGCCCACATCGAAAGGATAACATCAACGGCGTACACAAGGCTGGCGAACATAAGAACTGCCTTCAGAAACTTGTGTAAGGAATCATTCAGACCCCTGGTATACCTCGTATGTCAGACCAATACTGGAATATGCGGCTCCAGCCTGGAGCGCACATCTAGTCAAACACAAAACGAATTAAGAAAAGGTTCAGATTTATGCCATCAGATTAGTCCCTGAGCTGAGAGGAATAAGCTACAAGGAAAGACTACTGGAACTGAACCTCACGACACTGGAAGAAAATCTGTACTGGTGTACAGATTCCTAAGCCTACTGATCTCTATCATTTCTACATTTGAAACTGTGTTTACCGTCTGCTTCTACTACATCACTTCCTAATGCATTCCATTTGTTAAATACTGACATTGAAAAAAGTTATTTTTAATATCTCTATGGCTCATCTTGGTACTCAGTTTCCACCTGTGTTCCCTTGATCATGAACCTTGTGTGTTAAAGAAACTGTCTTTTTCTACCCTATCAATTCCTCTGAGAATCTTTTCTGTGGTGATCAAGTCTCTTCTAACTCTTCTGCCTTCCAGTGACGTGAGGTAAAGTTCTCATAGTCTCTCCTCGTAGCTCATACCCTTGAGCTCAGATACTAGTCTGATGGCATACCTTTGAACATCCTCTAATTTAGTATTGTGCTTGACGAGATACGGACTCCATGCTGGAGCTGCATACTCTAAGATTGGTCTGACATATGTGGTATACAAGATTCGAAATGATTCCTAAAGGCCGTTCTTATGGCGGCCAACCTGGCATATGCCGCTGATGATATCCTGGCCACGGGCCATGCTACCCAATACGGCCCGAGGCCAGACTTGACTGGCGAGAGCTTGGTCCAACAGGCTGTTGCTTGGAGTGGCCCGCAGGCCCACATACCCACCACAGCCCGGTTGGTCAGGCACCTTTTGCAGAAAAGTGTCCAGCTTTTTCTTGAAGACGTCCACTTTTATCACACTCTTCTTCTCCCCCGTCCCATCCCAAATCCTTATCTTGACTCCTTCCCAGTGCTATATAGTGGTAATGGCTCGGCGTTTCTCCTAATAGTTCCCTTCCCTTTCAGCAATATATATAATACTTCCTGGGAGGCTACTGAACAACCTTTGGTCTCTGATACTGACAGTGTTCTCTGAGTGTGCTTCTGGCACCTCCACTCTATACTGGTTCAATTCTGCACTTCCATATCGTTAACTCCAGTATGTTGGGATTTTACTGAATAAATTTGGGACCTGGCCTTCCAGTATCTTCCATGTATATATAATTTGATACTTCTCACGTCTCCTTTGCGGAGAGTACATTTTAAGAGCTTCGAGAAAGTCCCAATAGGTGCTTTATTATCGAGTCTATGCGTGGTGTATCTGTTCCCTGTATTCCCTCTATTTCAGCTTTTGTCCAGCTCTGTAGGGGTGAGTGTACTCCTCTGGTGACTAAGTGGAGGCACGAACACGTTCTGTTGTAGGAGTGAGCTTAAAATGTACAAGTATCTAGTAGAAAAGTATCTAGTAGAAATATATCACTGTACGTCAGATATTTCTTCCTGCCAGTCTTACTTTACCTAGAAAAATCTTAAAGAAAAACGTATCGTTTGCTGCGACAACGTCTCAGGAATTCCAACCTGATCAATGTTCAGAAATTAGCTGGAGACGGGCGTCGTCGCGCACGGGGGCGCCCTCTCCTGGTAAAATTAACTGGTCGACTTGCAATTTGAATCAACAGGTGAGAGCTTAATGTCGGGAGAGGAAAGACGGCGGGGTAAGATAAGAGAACAGGAAGGGTGGAAGAGGAGAGAAACAAGGGACGGATGGAATTCGTGGTAGCGATGGGACGGGGATGGAACTATGCTAAATCATCCCTATGGCGCCGTTACAGTGAAGCCGCTTACGTTGCAAGGCAGAGACACAGCAGTATGAGAGTGAGTGCGAGTGTAGAGCTTCCTTCTGTAGGGGAGAATACCCACCCAATGTCTCACCTCACTCACTACTGAGGTGAGAATACTCACCGAGTCGATGTTAATGGGGCTCCAGGCGCCGCACGCAGCTACTCACCGGGACTTGGGAACACTGACTCACCCCACGACAACAACATTGTCAACTACGACGACCTTATCTTCCACGGGGGGCCACGGCCCTCAAGACAGCCACGACCCTCAAGACAGCCACGACCCTCAGGACAGCCACGACCCTCAAGACAGCCACGAACGTCAGGACAGCCACGACCCTCAGGACAGCCACGACCCTCAAGACAGCCACGAACGTCAGGACAGCCACGACCCTCAAGACAGCCACGGCCCTCAAGACAGCCACGACCCTCAAGACAGCCACGGCCCTCAAGACAGCCACGACCCTCAAGACAGTCACGGCCCTCAAGACAGCCACGACCCTCAAGTCAGCCACGACCCTCGAGACAGCCACGACCCTCGAGACAGCCACGACCCCTCAAGACAGCCACGACCCCTCAAGACAGCCACGACCCTCGAGACAGCCACGACCCTCAAGACAGCCACTACCCTCGAGACAGCCACGACCCCTCAAGACAGCCACGACCCTCGAGACAGCCACGACCCTCGAGACAGCCACGACCCCTCAAGACAGCCACGACCCCTCAAGACAGCCACGACCCTCGAGACAGCCACGACCCTCAAGACAGCCATGACCCTCAAGACAGCCACGACCCCTCAAGACAGCCACGACCCCTCAAGACAGCCACGACCCTCGAGACAGCCACGACCCTCGAGACAGCCACGACCCTCGAGACAGCCACGACCCTCAAGACAGCCATGACCCTCAAGACAGCCACGACCCTCAAGACAGCCACGACCCTCAAGACAGCCACGACCCTCAAGTCACCCACGACCCTCAAGACAGCCACGACCCTCAAGACAGCCACGACCCTCAAGACAGCCACGACCCTCAAGACAGCCACGACCCTCGAGACAGCCATGACCCCTCAAGACAGCCACGACCCTCAAGTCAGCCACGACCCTCGAGACAGCCACGACCCTCGAGACAGCCACGACCCTCAAGACAGCCACGACCCCTCAAGACAGCCACGACCCCTCAAGACAGCCACGACCCCTCAAGACAGCCACGACCCTCAAGACAGCCACGACCCTCGAGACAGCCACGACCCTCGAGACAGCCATGACCCCTCAAGACAGCCACGACCCTCAAGACAGCCACGACCCTCAAGACAGCCACGACCCTCAAGACAGCCACGACCCCTCAAGACAGCCACGACCCCTCAAGACAGCCACGACCCTCAAGACAGCCACGACCCTCGAGACAGCCACGACCCCTCAAGACAGCCACGACCCTCGAGACAGCCACGACCCCTCAAGACAGCCACGACCCTCGAGACAGCCACGACCCTCAAGACAGCCACGACCCCTCAAGACAGCCACGACCGTCAGGACATCCACGACCCTCAAGACAGCCACGACCCCTCAAGACAGCCACGACCCCTCAAGACAGCCACGACCCCTTAAGACGGCCACGACCCCTTAAGACGGCCACGACCCCTCAAGACAGCCACGACCCTCAAGACAGCCACGACCCCTTAAGACGGCCACGACCCCTTAAGACAGCCACGACCCCTCAAGACAGCCACGACCCTCGAGACAGCCACGACCCCTCAAGACAGCCACGACCCTCAAGACAGCCACGACCCCTCAAGACAGCCACGACCCCTCAAGACAGCCACGACCCCTCAAGACGGCCACGACCCCTTAAGACGGCCACGACCCCCCAAGACGGCCACGACCCTCAGAAGAAATTTTGTCTCCTAACTCCTCATTTAGTTCAATCTATTTCTCTAATACTTGTAGGCTAAAAGTTGTATTTCTTAATTAATATCTCTCTGGATTATCTATTTCTCTTTCCTCCATCCATATATGTTCATTGTATATTTGTTATTGTTTCTATCATGCAAATTCCCTACGTGTTTTGTGTGTCAATCTCTGATTTATTCCAGCCGCGTTATATTAACTTTTGTTGTCTCTTCTCGTGTCGTATCACGTGGAGTTCTAGGACGAACCTCCTTGTAAACTTCTGCACATTTTCAAGTTTTCTTAGGTCAGTGACTTAACTGTGGGGCATGTGGTTCTAAATGAATGGGGAGTGTGATATAAGTGGGATTGGGTGGTTATAAATAGGGGCTGCCTCGTATGGACCAATTGGCCCTCTGCAGTTACATATATTCTTATGTGCTTATGTTCTTAAATGTCAATGATGGACAACGACGCAAAATTAATGAACATAGACACGGTAGACGACGACTGGGGTAAACTGCAGGAAGATGAACTGGCTGTAGTCAATCCCAGACACATTTACTGGAGTTAAAATCAACAGTGGTAAAGTGTGTATAATACTGAACACGAGGTCACCACTCGCAGAAACACCTCACAAAACTAAGAAAAAGGTCAGTAACACGTCCCACACTAAACAATTAGGACACCCTCCTCCAGTAACCCAAACAATGAGGCGCTAAACAGCTTGACCCATGTGAATCCGGTCTTAGAATATACACTTTAAAATGGGCTAGATCTAACTACTCGAGAAAAGAGAACACACATGGAACCAATGCAAGGAACCAAAGTCGCTGAGCAATTGGTATGGAGCAAGACTCGTCGTTATCCTCAGACAGCAGGACAAACAAAATGACCTAGACGAGCAGTTAGACGCAAACATCGTGGTCATCTTCACCCCTGGACACGCTATTATTATTATTAACATCTTTATTGACAAAACTAATTCCAATTTTGCCTAATCTGAGGATTTCGATTAAGCCTTATTAAAGTGAAGATAATGCTGATATTCACTGTCACGCAGGACAGAGGGTCATACATAAGACAATAGGTCTAAACTGTAGGCGGAAGTACATATATATCATGGTTACAATCAATGTTTTAATGTATGGATATGTGAAAACAACTTTTTATTGTGCATTGCCACACAAGGGCAGGGATGGGTTCATAAGTGATGCAGCTTAGAAGTAGTATAAATAAAAATTGTTCTTCATTCTTTAAAATGGACAAGCAAATTTTGGATAAATTGTTAGGATGTCGTCCAGAACACCTGAGTCAATGAAATAGTTACACAGTTGGTGGTACAAGAGGCCAGGAGGTCTAAAGTCCTTTACGGCTTCACATTCAACAATATAATGTTCTAGTGATTCATTAAAGGTTTATCACAGAGTTTACAATCTGAGTATTCTGGTAGTGGCTCAGCCTCACCAACCTGCCAGATGTGTCTATAGCCAAGGCGAATTCGCTCAATGACTATATCACATTGCCTGGTCCGGTTACTGTGCTGACCATACAAATACCTATTATTACAAAACTTGTCATAACTTTTTAATACTGCAGCTTTCAGGTCTCTGGGCATTTCTTAGTTCTTCTAAATCTGAAGCAAAGAGTCATCTGGCCGGAGTGAAACCATTGCATTAAATGACCAACGGGTTGTAAGGCAGTGACACAGAGATGGTCTGTGATCCTGCAGTACAAACATCACAGTACACACACACACACACGCTTGTGTGTACTGTCACAAGTGTGTGATTCAGGAATCTGTACACCAGTTGATATACATTTGAGAGGCGGGACCAAGAGCCAGAACTCAACCCCCGCTAGCATAACTAGGTGAGTACACTCACACTTGAGCCGCTAATTTGTCTCCCCCTCCCCCTCCTTGGAGGGGGGGGGCCATTCCCTCCGTCCCCCCCCCTCCTCGGTGTTTGGGGGAGGGAGGCATTGTCCACCTCACCCCCTGGTCTCTCTCTCCCTTGTTACTTTATGGAGAATTATATCTTCATAAGCCTCTCGCCTTGAAGCCTTAATGCAATTAGCACCATAATACTTTTAAACACTTCACAAGAGTGTGTATTAAGTGCGCCCGAATTTTTTTAAGCAAACTTCACGAGAAACGAAAAAAAATCCTGGATTTTACTCAAAAACCTTAATGACGTCAGCCTTTAGGTCGTCAAGGTGACTTCAAATCTTTGTATCTCTACCGACACGTTTTGTAGTGTCTGGGGAAGGGGGGGGGGAAAGCTGGGAAGACCATGGAAATACTGGAAGGAAGAGGAGGGAGGATGGGAGAGGAGGGAGGGTGGGAGAGAAGAGAGGGAGAGGAGGGAGGAAGGGAAGAAGGAACAGGGAAAGAGGGAAGTCATAGTTATCAAGATATACCTTTCATAAGCTGAGGAAACAAAGGGCAGTCAGGACCGTAACATTGTTATACATCAGAAGGAAGCAACTGCTTCACCGGTGTTGGTGTAGGTGGGTGAAGGTCATGTGGGTGTAGGTGGGTGACGGTCATGTGGGTGTAGGTGGGTGACGGTCATGTGGGTGTAGGTGGGTGACGGTCATGTGGGTGTAGGTGGGTGACGGTCGTGTTGGTGTTGGTGGGTGACGGTCGTGTTGGTGGGTGACGGTCGTGTTGGTGGGTGACGGTCGTGTTGGTGTAGGTGCGTGACGGTCATGTTGGTGTAGGTGGATGACGGTCGTGTTGGTGTAGGTGGATGACGGTCGTGTTGGTGTAGGTGCGTGACGGTCATGTTGGTGTAGGTGGATGACGGTCGTGTTGGTGTAGGTGGATGACGGTCGTGTTGGTGTAGGTGGGTGACGGTCATGTTGGTGTAGGTGGGTGACGGTCGTGTTGGTGTTGGTGGGTGACGGTCGTGTTGGTGTTGGTGGGTGACGGTCATGTTGGTGTAGGTGGGTGACGGTCGTGTTGGTGTAGGTGGGTGACGGCCATGTTGTGGTGTAAGTGGGTGACAGCCATGATGATTCTGAAAGAGAGAGTGACAACATGCCCATGCCCTCGGCCCCGGATCCAGACTTCTGGAATTCTATATTTACTAATAAATGTAAAGTACCAGTAGCGCTCAGTGTAGTGTGAAGAATGAGCTTGGACACTGAGTGGGACGTAACAAAACCACTTAAATCAGCAGATATAACTCCACTCTACAAGGCTATAAAAATTATAGACCAGTCACACTAATATCACACGTAATAAAAGTTTTTGAAAGAGTGATTAAGAGTCAGATACCCAGTTTTAAAGACAAAAATAACCTTCACATATCAACACAAACTTAGAGCAGGGAGATCATGCCCTTTGGCAGTTACTCATTTACTATGTTAAAACCAAGGAAGCATCGGAAGAAAAACTAAATTCAGATGTGGTATACACGGACTTTTGCAATGGCATCAATGTGATCATGGAGTGAAAGTCCATAAAATGAGAAAAAGTGGAATGTCAGGTAAAGTAGGACGATACACAATAAATTTCCTGTCATATAGAACGCAAACTAACAAAACAAAACAGACCATAAACAATGAAAAGATTTGAATGCCAAAGAACAGTTTTGCCACCACTTTTTTTTCTCCTTCTCGTATCAGTTATATACACAATACAAGTCACAGCTTGGTTACATTTCTCCCTTGTGGCTACCTTATGGTAGTTCCTAGGATCATTGTCCCCGCAGCCCGGTCTCTGACAGACCTGGTTGGTCATCTGGTCAGTCAGGCTGTTGGACGCGGCTGCTGGCAGCCTGTCGTATGAATCTCAACCTTCGTGTCATCGTTGGCAGATGACACAAAATCTTCATGAAAATTACTTCTGTAGAAGACTTTGAAAAACTGCAGACTGATATTAATAAAGTCTCAGATCGTGTAATGGAAGTTAACATGATGTTTAACAGTGATAAATTCTATGCACTTATATACAGAAAAATATTAAGAACATAAACAAAATACAAGACACAATAAAATCTCCTCATAGTAGGAAAACAACATGAAAAGAATCTGGACAAAACGATGTCTGATGACCTAACGTTTAGTGAACATGAGCAAGATATTACGGCGTCAGCCAGGAAAATGATGGGATGGAATATGAGAACCTTCAAATCCAGGGACCTCATTACTGTACTCACATTATTCAGATCACTCTTGCTGACCCGCCTTGAGTACTGCTCCATTCTGCTTCCCCCTTTCAAAGTAAAAGAGAGAGAGTTGGAATAGAGAGAACATATGGCACGCATAGATACCATAGAGAACCTAAACCATCCGGACCATCTCAATATGTACTGTCTGGAAAGGAGATGAGAGAGATATCTCATAATATATACAACTATGGAAAATACTGGAGGGCCAGGTCTCAAATTTGCACAGTAAAATAACAACATACTAGAGTGAACGATATGGCAGGAAATGCAGAATAGAGCCAGTGCAGAGTTGGTGTCATAGGCACACTCGCAGAACATTGCATGAACATCACAGGTTCACGGATGTTCATCCCAGCAAGCTTAAAAAATATTTTACCGGAACAAAAGTGGACCACCTCAAGGAAAAAATAGTTTCCTGTTAAGAAGTTGCGGACCATCAGGGTTGTAGTGGATATGTGGGCCAGCGGGCCGGGCCAAGCACAGTCTGTTGCACCAAGTTATCAGAAGTCAAGCCTGGGATCAGGCCAGGCTTAGGGAGTAGAA